GAACTAATCAATCTGAGCAAGTTATGTCTAATGAGATTTCAAACAGCATCCCGCATGATGTGCAGCACTGCAAATTCCTGTTGCGCACTCGTGAGCCAGCGCTGAAGGAGCGCAAGCTTTGGGGCCGGTCCAGACGAGCACTTTAATCAGAAGAGTTGTAATGCACAGCAGGGGCTGATTTATCACCAGTTGATGGGGCGGAGCGGTAAAAGCACTTACTTGATCACTGGTTTGTTTTGCTTGGTCACTCGACATTCTCATCATGCCCTCATATGTATCGGTATGTGATTTAGGAGGTCTGCCGCTATGAAGTCATTTTGTAGCAGGGTTTAATATCATTGAACAGGTGCAGATGCCCTGTTTTGACCAGTTTTGTCTTTTTAATAATGCACAGCATTTACCTTTGAACTAAATTTGAGATTTGTGGCCCTGATAAGTCCGCCTCACATTGTGAGCATCATCCTGGTTCTTTGTGTAATCCTGCTCCCCTAAAACGGACCCATTTAGGACCGCTTAGACAGTAAACTATCCAGGCCACCATATGACCCTGCTAATGGGTGTCCTGTATTACAGCACACAGCCAGATGAAGAGATCTCACTGGTGAAATTTCCCAACAGACCAGACCCATCTTTTAACTAAGCAATAGCCGTGCTGTTTTGTTTTTTGTTTTTTGTAAAGAATGTTTCATTTAAGAGCTGAATCTGTGACCCTGGACTAGGCAATCTGTCAGCACTACTGGGTTTCAATGCCAATTGATGGATTAAAATCTATGGATGTCTAATACATACATGGGCGAAGCAGATTCTGTGCTTTTCACAGATGACATATGAGCTTAAACCACATCCATATGTGTGAACTCTCCACAATCACACAAAAAATCAATGGACTCAGACTTGATTTATACTCTCTGCTTCAAGACACGTTGCATCAATGGAATGAAATCTGAATCCGGGCCTTCAGAAACATATTATCTTCATCCCACCAGCATGTCTGTCTACTGAATTCCAGATGCTTTTGGCACTGCATGTTTCACAGGTTTATATATACAGTATAAAATGAAATGCATATGTTTGTAATCTATTGTCTATTAAAAACTTGCTTAAAATGAACAATTAACTTGTGCAATGCACATATGCAGTGACCTAGTTACATTAATGCATTCAGTTTAGCCTGAGGTGACCTCGTTTGTGTGTCCTTGAAAAGTTACTGTTAAAGTCATTTTAAAACACTCATGCACATACAGTATGTGTGTTGCCTTCTGGCAAGCAGTAACATGCGAGATGATGATCTCATGTTCATTTTTCCATAGATACATTATTTTGCATCACAGTTGATTGTCTTTGGGTTACACAATGTACACGCACTGACTGAAGTGACCAGCACAAAGCTGAATTATCATAATCTGTCCTTCAGACGGTTGTGATTCCAGCGTGACCTCTCAGCTGTTCCACATAATCATGAAAAACAGTGAAATCATGAACATTCATATTTGTTTGACCAAGTAAAATATACACAACATATTAGATATTGTTTTCTGTGCTAAATACCAATAGCAATTATTTGTCTATAGAGTGATTTCTGGCACAAAACTAAATAATGATTATATTACAATAACAAGACATATGCATAAAAATACACAATAACAATACAAATGCTTAAATTCAAAAATAATCATTTCAAGGGATGCACTGAGATAATCATTTTCATGTTATGGCTGATAAAAGATAAATGTTACAATATCAAAACACAATTTGATATTTAATACTAAACATTTTAAATGCTACAAGTGAATTTAGGCATCACAAAATTATAATGTGTACATATGAAAATCTGATATTTTCATTTTACTTTTCACTTTTTAATTTCAAACAGTGTTATTTAATGTATTAAACAGTGTTATTAGATGTTTTTAAAGTTGAACTTTAAGTGAGCATTAGATGATGGCAAAGGCAATCTAAATGTAAAAATAGGGGAAATGAGCAGGCACATTATCTATAAAAGTCATTAACCATAATTCAATCAATAGTTTAATAATTAAATTAGTAGTGTGCATGGTGGTTTGCTGTTCCCAGGGAAACTATAATCTGATAAGGTGTTAATGCCGTTGTACACAAACACAAGACATTGGCAAACAACCACCAATAAAGCAGCAAAACCAGTCACACTTCAACAGAGGCTGAGACTATAAATGCTTGTTTTATATGCTATACATGCAAACACACAACGGATATGTTTTTTAAACTCTGTCCTTATGGCTTTCAGGAAAGGTGGATTACAGAAGGATGAGCAGAAGCATCTTGTAAATTCACTGTGGGCTTGAAATGCAAACACTTTGAGGAAGCATCTGTGGTTTGTGCATCCAAGTGTGAACCTCACCTTCTCTGTAATATTTATTTTTCCATTCCCCGGGCAAGCTCGAAAGGGAACAGATCCTCCATGTCCTGAAGATCTGTCATCATATCCCATAGCTAAACAACACCTGTTTCTGAAAGCTTTGAATACTTGCGTTCATTCCCATGGCTTTATTCTGTGGCGGGGGTGGAAGGCCAGGGGCCATAAACAGCCTCTTTCTCACTTTGTTGCAATTGTTGCTGTGAAGAATTTATGTGAGGAATTCTAATTGGAGATTGGAGAGTGGCTCCGGGTAGTTTCCCCCCGGCTGGGACGAGAATAGCACGGGCTCCAAGAGGCAGGTGAACCACATTCCCTGGCTGCACTCGGAGGTTATGGAGGTCATGCCCAAAATGCAGGTTGGAGACCTCTGATATTGTCACTGAAGAGGTCCTGAAATTTTAGACACCGTTGTAAGGTAAAATAAAGGATGGTTTTATATCAAATATCTCGTGGTTTTGGCTGACATTTTGTGAATATCCTGTAATGTTAAAAGTTAATTTTCATTTCAAAATGCCTGGATTCCCTCATCCTTTTGCTCTGTGCGTCCCTCCCTTGACCTCTCACAGTAAAATACACAGTTAAAGCTCAATAATACTTATTTTCTTACTGTTATAAGCCCTTCTGCATGCCTAGAGCCAGTGAAGTGCAAATTGGAGTCCGCCTGCAGAGGCTTTAAGTGTTGTGTTTACTAATGGAGTCAGGGGAACAGCTACAGCAGCAGTGGAAAGCTTTTGCCCCCCCTTTTTAGTATCTGGCAGACGTCCATGTCAGTTATTGAAACCTAATGAAGCCTGTCTGACCCTGATGAGTTTTGATTGTTGATGTGAAAGTATGAAAGTCAGGCCTGAAATGAGAAAAACAACACATTATGTGTTCAGCTTAGTGAGGGCTGGCTAACTGTGATGACATTGCATCAGATCGACAAGGGCACACTCGATGTTTGGCAGAGTGTTGATTGTTAGATAAGAGCATTGCCAAAGCTGGAATGTAGACGGTCCTGTAGGTGATTATGCAAAAGTTTTCCTATGAGGCATCTTAATGGGTTTGGGCCACAAATTTGGCAGTTTTAATTTTTAACAACGTTAATGAAAAGAATATAAACATATTTTGTGTCCATGGTTTGAAATAAATAAGAATATAAAATATTTATATTTTCTATAAATGTATATTAATTTATTTTATATATTAATATACAGTAAGAATAAAGCAAAATAAACACACAATATATATATATATATATATATATATATATTAAAATATGGATATTTTACGCAATCTCAAAGCCAGCTATCGAGATGTTTCAGCATTAAAATCATGAGATCAAAATCACTTATTCTAAGTTTTCTTGCTCTTATTAGCAATCAAGATGAGCTTAGTTGTCAGACAGTGTGAAAATTTCATATAGGCAAGCAGCAAGACACAGAGCAAGAGTTTTGTCACCTCCATGTTCAGATCTCGTACACCTGCTGCACTGTGTCTTTCACAAGACGACAGAGAGGGATTCACACCCTTAATTTGTGTAAGCCAGGCTCTCTGCTGTGTGGAAAACCAATATGGTGTCAAAACTGCCAAGCCAATAGTGATTCTCTCTCCCTCCTTTGGCTAGATACGGCATTATGAGTCAGCTTAGTTGGCCAGTATAAGGCCTTTGTGTGGAGACTGGGGACGACACTGAACTGGAGTACTCAGGGAAACAAGTCAACCTCATTTTCAGTGGTTTTTAGCAGGACCAGGTTCAAAATAGAAGCTTTGTGTGTAAACAGGAGAACAAGAGAAGTCCAGACCCATGTGAGTAGGCTATATTAAGCAAGCAAGCAGTGGGAGAGGTGTAATGCAAGGCTGGTAGGACTTTGTCACGACAAGGTAGGAGTTTGTACCCATTTCATTCAGTTCTTCGTATGCAAAGTACTACTGTACCAGAAATTTGTGCAAATACTGTGTAGAACTATGATATATTAAGCATTTTAATTCCAATTTAGTTTATTTTTTATAGACTTTTTATGTATTTAAAAACAGGTCTGCTAAAGAGTTTCTTTCTTCTGTTAAACACAAAAGAATATATTTTGAAGAACCAAGCAGTTTCTGGTCCCCATTGACTTCCATAGTATATATTTTTTTTCATACTATGGAAGTCAATGGGAACCAGCAGCTGTTTGGTTACCCACATTTTCTTTTGTGTTCAACAGAAGAAAGAAGCTCATACAGGTTTTAGAACAACTTGAGGGAGAGTAAATGATGACAACATTTTCATTTTTGGGTGAACTATCCCTTTAAGTTGTTTGTTAATTGTCACCTTTACTGAGGTTTATGTGTGAAGTATTGAGGTTGTATATGATAAATTTATGATGCAAAATGTTTTCTGAGGCAAAGACTCGCAAGCTATCTTTCCCTTTAGAGGTGATTCATAAATAAAAACTGTGCATGATAAAGATAAATAAAAAATTCTTGTGCTGCTTATTGACATTTGACAGGAGACATTTAACGTTCAGTGAACAGAAAAATCCAAATAGGCTAAATTACTGAGGATAATTACACTTATTGAAAGAACAAATCTCATTCTCAGACATCTCAATCCATCACATTGCCTTGATTTCCTTTTTCAGTACAAAGCTAAACATCCTAGGTGTGTAAGGTTCTCTCAAAAACCACATTGCTATAATATTTTGTTTCCTTTTAATTTTTTACAGTGCAGTTTTACCTTAATTCAGTGTATGTATGTTCAGATTATGAATTACTCTTGATTTAGACTGCATGTTGAATTCATATATTATTGTGCAGTCCAGTGTTTTTCTCTGGCCTCTGATGTCGTTTGGCTCAGCTCTGTCCATTAAACTGAAGCAGAGTCAACGTCTGTCCATGCTGAGTGGGTAATTCCTAATTTGTGTCTAGGTCTCTGCACCTGCACCCTGTGACATGAAGCTTGACAATAGTGAAAGTGCCCTGCACACACCTGTCCTCTCACATCAGACCATCTAGAGATGTAAATGCAGAGGGCTGGAGCGAAATAAGCATGTTACCGTGCAGCTGTCACCTGTCTCATCATTTTTATTTTTATGTTTAGTTCTGTTTAGTTTCATGTTCAGTCAGTTATTTGTTACCGTTTTGCCTGTGTTCCCTAGTTAGTTTTCTTATTAGTTTCTATGCACAGTTCTTTCTGTTCAGTGTTCGGTCTCGTTTACGTTTATGTTTAAGTGTGGTTAGACTTGTTATATCGCCTGTGGCTTTCCTGTAGTGATTGTTGAGTTTATTAAATACTATATCCTTGAATCTCATTGTGCCGTGCGTGTTAAGCCACACCTAATCGTTACATTTACCTAATGAGTGTGCATTTAAATGACACGCATACATTTTGCTGTCTCGTACCCAAACATGTCTAGAATGTTCCACTGTTGTCCTTCATCAGAAATGGATGAAAAGCTGTTCTACAACTTCATTTGTGTCTGGATCAGTCGGTCTGTCTAAAAGCAGAGGACTAAAGAGATTGTTAGCACAAATAATCATAAATCAGTCTCAATAAATTTTGCTGTTTTTTCTCTTCTCTCTGCTTTAGGCTTTTGGAAGTGTGACGGAACGTCTAAATGTGACTAAATGCATCTCCAACGAACACTGAGCCCAACATAGATACCATCCTGAAAATATCTGGTTATGAGAACTGGCACTACAAAAGTCCCTTGGTAAGTATAACTAGACAAATAAAAAATACGAGTAATGGGTAAAACAGCAACGTTTGTCTTCTAATTCAGCTCTTGAAAATGCTTATTTTAGATGCAGAATAATACTTAGTAGTACTTACAATAGTACTGTTCCGTTGTGATTGATCAAGACGCATTTGGGTCAATAAAAGACATTATTAAAAAATTCAAAAATAAACTATGCAAATGCATCTCATTCATACAATTACTTCTCTTCTATGATGAGCATATTTTTAATTCCTGAATTAAAATTAACCCTGATATTTTGGGGAGAGATAAAGTCAGATATGTCAGGGTAATAAAACTTGATGAAAATAATGTCATAATGAAAAAAAGCCTAATTAAAAGAATGAAATTCTTGCAAAGAAAACCTTGGTATAGTTTGTAATAATATATTCCTATTCATTCTTAGAAAAAAATATTTTAACAAAACTGATTCAATACTTATTAACAGTTAAGAAGATAGTTTTTAACTTTGATTCATATATTTAAAAACATTTTTGAAAATAGCAATTGATTACATCAAATCAATGATTACTTTTTTTTTTTCAATTTAATGACTGGTGTAACCATCTAGTATTCCTTTCCTTTTCAAAACCCCATGAAACCAAGAAGAATACACCGATTACATTTCTAAGAACTTGACATTATGATTTTAAAAAGATTTTTCCTTATTGTGGACACACTTATATGTACATTTTCTTTTTTGCAGGAAGGAGGTAAGATGTTCATGGATCTGTGTGGCCAGCGGGGCGCATGGACAGTCCTGCTGTTGTGGTGCCTAAACCTATCAGCTGCTGACCTCACCTGCCCGCAGAAATGCACTTGTTACCGTGACACGTTGGAGGTCAACTGCTCCTCAAGACACCTGACGGGTGTGCCTGAGGTGTTACTCAGCAATGCCAAACGCTTAGACCTTTCAAGAAACCAACTGAAAACGCTGGCTAGGCGTCAGTTCTCCGGCCTGTCAAAGCTTGAGGACCTAGACCTGAGTGAGAACATCATCTCCATGATTGAGGTGGAAACATTTCAGGGGCTGAAGAACCTGCGATACTTGAGGATAAAGAACAACCGCCTGAAGATCCTCCCGGTCGGGGTCTTCTCCGGCCTCACCAACCTTCAACGTCTGGACATCAGTGAGAATGAGATCCTGGTTTTCCTGGATTACACATTCCAGGACATGACTAACTTACAGCAGCTCGATGCAGGAGAAAACGACCTGGTGTTTATCTCGCAACGGGCTTTTGTTGGGCTGCAGGCGCTGAAGGAGCTGAACGTGGACCGCAGCAATCTGACCTCCATCCCCACTGAGGCTCTGTCGCAACTTCAGAGCTTGACCAAGCTGCGCCTGCGCAAGCTGACCATAAGCGTGTTGCCCAACAATGCCTTTCGCCAACTGCACCAGCTGCGCACATTGCAGATCCTCCACTGGCCTTCTCTCGAGACGTTAAATAGCAACAGCCTGGTTGGTCTCAACCTTACCACTTTAGTTTTAAGCAACTGTAACCTTAGCTCTGTACCTTACGCTCCACTGCGCCATCTCGCTTACCTGCGGTACCTCGACCTGTCCTACAACCCCATCACCTCCATACAAGGCAACTTGCTGGGGGAGCTTCTGCGGCTGCAAGAGTTGCACCTGGTAGGTGGGAGCCTGTTACGTATTGAGCCAGCTGCCTTCAGGGGTCTGGTCCACTTTCGTCTGCTCAATGTGTCCTCGAATCGCCTGACGACATTGGAAGAAAGTGTCTTCCACTCGGTAGGGAACTTGCAGACACTGCGGCTGGACAGAAACCCGTTGGCTTGTGACTGCAGGCTACTCTGGGTTGTGCGACGACGTCGGAGACTGGATTTCGATGGCCGCCAACCCACCTGTTCGGCTCAGAATCAGCACAAGAAGGCATTTCGTGACTTTTCGGAGGCTGATCTTCCGGTTATATTTACGTGCAGACGGGCGCAGATTGTGAACCGCCAGCTGCAGGATGCGAGTGTGGTGGAAGGCATGAGCATACGGTTTGACTGCAGAGCCGAGGGCTATCCGTCGCCTTCTATTGCCTGGCTGTCAGCCCAGCAGACTGCACTTAGCTCTGTCGGGAGAGTACGAGTGCTTGCTAATGGGAGTTTAGAAGTGCGTTATGCCCAAGTACAAGACAGTGGAACGTATCTGTGCACTGCAGCTAATGCAGCGGGGAACGACAGCATCTCCATGAGTCTGCAAGTGGAGGGGCTCCCACAAAACCGCACCGCATCGTATTTCTCAGACGAGGGATGGATGGAAACTTCATTGCCTCCTTCTACCAACTCCTCCACACGGGTGTCAAGTCCTTACCCGTTTGATGCTAAAACCCTCATCATTGCTACCACCATGGGATTTCTCTCTTTCCTCAGCTCTGTGGCGATCTGTTTCGTGTTTATGTTCTTCTGGAGTCAGAGCAAAGGACAGATAAAACACACTGCCACTATAGACTTCGTGCCACGATCATCCATGGGTGGAGGTGGAGATGGTGGGGACACTGGGAGATTCACAATGAAGCTTATTTGAGCTGGAATAGAGAATAATTGGTCATGGTTACAATTAGTTGAGCCTTTAAAACTGTAGTAACTCTTAAAGTTGCAACTTGCCATCACAGCAAGGTACAAAGCCTTATGATAACATATTTTGCAAGCCTGATTGACTATGTAAATAGGTATAACAACTTATCTTTATAATAATTTCATTCATATTGTGCAAGTCTGATTGACATTAATGTAAGTAGGTTTAAAGCTCCAGTCCGTAATTTTTTGGGTTAAAAATTATCCAAAATAAATTTTTGAGCAAGTACATAACCAGCCAGTGTTCAAAACTATCTGCTTGCCTTTGCTCGATTCAAAACGGTAAGCTTGTAATAATGTTTTTAATTCCAGTGGTACTGGTGGATTTCCGCGGGAGATTCGAGCATGTCTTTGCGTCATTACGTCACATCTGTACACATAAAGAAGGAGTCTCGGCTAGTAGGCTATATTGCGTGTGAGGATGTTGGAGGTGGAGATTTATAGCCTTTTCTCACTGCACTTGGTATAATTAAACGTATTAATTTGATGGCGGATCCAGAAAGATTCAAACGACAATCACCAGTGACAACTAGAGATTCACCCGTTGTAAAATGCAAAAGACTTCGGAGTGGCTACAGAAAAAAAGAGACTGCAACCGCCCCCATGCGAAAACAAGGATACATATCGGAAGGGCTTTAAATGTAGTCACGCAATGCTGACGTTGTTAACATTAACAATTTGAGAACAAAGTATAATTTGCACGGTTTGACGTGATATGATAAGCGATCGTTAGATTTAATCAGCGCAAATTACTGCAAAGCTTTTTTCCCCTTAGTTGGTCAGAACAAAAGTGGATGTTTCTTACTTGTTCAGATGACATTTTCCGATGAAAATTCTTATGTTGGTCATACTTCCAAAAAGTAGAATCTGTGATTCTGAATGCCAGTATCCAAATCGGCGCGGGGACTGACAGCTGCACATTCTCCTCAAAACATTGGATTCATCCGCGCTGTGCCATGCCGAGGCACAACCCACGTAAAGTTGATAATTCCGCTAATAACTGCAATTGCAGATTTCGAACTGAGATGGCGACAAAGAGGAAAAACTACGGACTGCAGCTTTAACTTCTCTTTATAATAGTATTTTAGCTGAGAAGTTAGATTATATCAAATTTAATATAAGTAAGGTAGTATAGTGGCTTGAGCAATTCCAAAGTCTGAAGATAAACAACAAACACATTTTCTTACTGTTCGATAGTAATAATTCATTTTTATAAAATATTATTAATAATAATAATAATTAATAAAATATTTAATAAATACAAAATATATATAACTTTTATTTACTATTAATTATTATTAATAGTAAATTGTATTTAAAATAGTATACAAAATATAACTACATTTATTTACGAATATATATAAATACACACATAGTATAGTGACTAATAAATAATTAAGCAACTGTTGGATATTATTGTGGTGTGCCCTCGATTTGGTTTGTCATTTTTTTAGGCTCACAGCTCTTAGTATAATGGATAAAATCTCTTCCTTTGTAAGGGCTCAGGCACAGTTAGCCTTTAGAGATATTCATTTCACTGCCAAATTAAACCAGAACACGCCGTGCGATGATGCATTTGACAACAATGCAGTTTTAGATATTGTAATATTGTTGCACAAAAGTATATGCAAAAGACTGAAAAACCCCATAGATCTATATATGTCTTAACAGCCTATTAACATCTATTGTAGTTTGTAGAAATTAAAACATTGCAACAGGAAATAAATGAATTTAACTAATAATAATTTTTAAAAAGTTAAGAATTTTAAATGGACGATAAGTTATTGAAATGGATTGCTGTATTATATATTGTGTGTGATATTGTACATTACAGATGTTATATTTATAGGTTGCAGTAAGATTACAAAAACTTTGCAAGGTTATTCAGAAATGTCTTTTATGCTTCTTCATTTTTTTAAAAACATCATCAAGTGATGTTATGCCATGCCAGTGAGTCTTATGGCTATGCACAAATGGCTATGTCATGATTGCACACACACATGGTTATTTACCTAAGATGCTTTGCAATTTATGTAATGTATATAAGTTATATTTCCACATTTTGATGTTTTTGCTAATGCATTTGTAAGTTATAATATTTTGCATTGGATCATTAAAGACTATGCAAGTCTGCCTGTTCAGAAAACCATTTTGTCTCACTATTTTTACTCCACGGGGTTCCATTTTAAACCTCCTCATTAAAAATTCATGTACATTTCTAGGTAAAAATTAATTTCTGAGTCCTGAAAGTCTGAACAATTTAGATACTGTGATCATATCCCTTTGTTACTCTGGTGCATGCAGTATAAAATTGTCCAGATGTAAGCTCCATCTGTTTCATCAAGGCGCACCTATAACCTTGAGTGGCTGCAGTTTTTCTTTAGCTCATCTGATTGTGGAGGATAAATGACATGAGATGTAAGAGAGAAGAATCTGCATAATTATCTGCATCAGTCACTGTCTTGTTTGTTAAACGGATAAATAATTGTCTCCTGCTGCCTCTCATCTGATTACCTACGATTAATGTTTGATTTTACAGAATTTATGCCATTCATTCAGTCTAATAACAAAGTAAAATTGATACGTGATAGGTATGTTTTATTACACTGATGACGGATTATTGTCTGAGAGTACAGGAAGAGACGGGGAACTCGCGGTGGTGTTTCAGTCAGGCTGTCGTTTTGTTGGACAGACAGTTCTCAAGCTTTAACTGGATTCTGCTGAGAGAGAGAGAAAGAGAACGAGAGAGTGAGAGTAAATAATTTCTGCTGTTGCCCAGAATAACCCAGAAAAAAAAGATGATAATCACGTGTATGACCAGTGGTTTAAACCCTTTAGGATTACCTCTAGTTGTCTCAATCTGTTGTATAGGTCTGTCTGGCTACGGCGTACTGATCAAATAAAAATGCTTTTTATTCTCCAAAAATGTGTTGCAATTAAACTACAATTAAACTAACAGTTAAATAATCATTTCATTAAGATAAGAATTTTGTCATGTTTTTGTTATACACAATAAAAAATAATACACATACTGCACAAATATAAAAGTGTGTGTGTGTGTAGTCATAAATGTGGAGCTATAGCAGTATGTTCAGATCTTCCTGTTCTGTACCCACAGATGTGAGGACTTATTTGTGCCACCGTTTTGACCAAAATATGTCGCTTATGCCTTTTGGCCACTAGCTGGAGCCAAAGAAATACATATAAAAGAGACAATAGCCTGTACTATACAAAACTGCACAAGAACTTTAAAATTGATGTCAGTTTACACAGACTTAATTTGATCTTGTGATAAATGTAACAGATTTCATGGTGCCAAATAATCTACAATGGATGGAAGAATGGAAATGTGTTTTCTGTGTGCCCACTCTGCCACTGATGCAGTGAGCATTGGCTTATCTGAGCTCCAAGAGTATTGATGAACCTGATGAATAGGACAATAACATGGGCAAGATGCAGAGTGAGCAGATTCTTATCGCTGATTCTGTCAAGAACTGACAAAGCAAACTTAACAGTTCACTGAAAAAAACAGATAATAGATTACTCGGACAGTTATATATGTATCTTGAAAGCATCTGTAACAACAGTTCCCACACTTAGAAATATGGAAGAGCCATGGTATTGCTAATGAATATGACTAGGCCTACTTTGCTACAAATCTTATTATTTTATATATATATATATATATATATATTTACAGGATTCTGAGATTCTTACACATATATTGTAATGGAATATTTTAATATAGAATTAAATGTACCTCCAAATCCACTGCAGACACACACACACACACACACACACATAGAAGCCCTCCTGCACAAAGGAAGCACATGCCAGAGTGACACAGGAAGTGCTTATCTACATCTATGCCAGATTGCAAACTGCAAGACAAACACTAATGTAGCAAGACTGCGTTTTAACAGTTCCTCTGAGAAAAAAAAAAAAAAAAAACCAAAGCAGCCGAAACAGGAACAATGTCTGTGGTTTTTGGGTATATATAGCTCAAGGAAAAGTGTGTTAAAGTGTGTTCATTTTTTGTTATTTTTTAACAAGTTGCTTGATTGAACTGCTTAGAAGTAAGTTACTCTTTGTTCATCCATTCTCCAGGACCGCCCTGGGAAGGGATTAGCTGAAGAATCATAACCTGTAACCTTTTATTATTTTGCTAAAGTAACCAAGTATATTTCTCTTTTGTATAAATAAACTTTTATTTTATAAAGAAAAGTATTTTTCGTTTTACTTCAGCTGTACAAAGAAAGTTCAATAGCAATAAGATACACTGAAAAAAAAGGAAAGCAGCTTTATTGAGAATACTAAAATAATACACTTACAATCTACTTAATACATTTATGTTTGAGATGCAAACATAATTACATTGCATAAACTCCAAATGAAATTCAGCACAGTCATCAAAAAGTGATATGATCATGTTGCAATAAAATGTTCAAATCAATTCAGGCTCAATTTACCATCAAACAGATGGTGTTCACTCAAAATGATTTTACTGCTGTTCCATTTACTTAATTAAAATGAGCTAATACAACACAATTGTGTTGTATTTTGGCACTTAATTTCATCATGTATAATTAACCTAATTCAGTTGTTGCAACATGTAAATATTGCATCAGTGTATTTCTGAAACTACATTAAACAAGAGAGGTACATGTTTGTTTCAGCTTATTCCATTTTATTTTATAATTTTTATATGATAAAAACAAGACGTTTTGGCGTCCATGTGTTCTCAATCTGAATATTTAGCAAATGCGGGTTTCTGGGTAGTGTCATGTCAATGCTGGGAAAAAACATATTTTTAGACTTATGTTGAAATGCTGCACACAAAGTCAATTTGGCTTTTATTGAACTAAGGAAGAAGAAAAAAATGCCCGCACATTTTTTTTTTTGGTCTGCCTTTTTTGAGGTTTTTATTTATTTTTAAATTATGTAAAGATAACTTGATTAGATTGTGTAGAATTAACATGATCCAGGCATGTATCTAAAGTAAAAGAATAATATTCAGCTAACATGACTGAATTATGTTAGGTTAACTTAAACAGAGCATGTACACATTACTTAAATAAAATACATGTGATTAACACAAAACTATTGTACAGAAACGATGTGAATGTGTAGGATACTGTGAACCCAAACAAATTATGTGGAACCAGTGTCCATAATTCAATTGAGTAAATCCAATGAAATTTTTTTTTCAGTGTAGGCATTGTTACATCTTCACTGACCAAGACAATAAGGAATCCAGGAAGCTTTCACCAGATGGTAAGCATGAAAGATCTTTTGAGTCAATGATTGTTATTGTTGTATGGTGTTAAGGGACATACCTTAGATTTAACTTGTATAAAAAAAAACTAGCCAAGTGTAGTAAACCTGATCGGAAAAGGCCACCTAAATAGGGGTTATTCAGGCAATGAGTTAAATACCAGATCTCACCACAATATCCAAGTTTGACAAATTTAATGGCAATTATTGCAAGATAATGATTATTATTACACATAGCCTATTATATAATATGTATACACACCATTGTCTGTCAGAATACTCGATTGTGATTGGCTGGAAGGTGTGCGTTCAAATGGTGTGTAATGCACAAGGAGTTCCAGTCAGTCAAACCACCATTCTATATTAATGCGCTGCTTTCACTGAAGCACACACTCACACACACACACACACACACTACTGCACAGACAGACGCAGCACACACATCTCTCTCTCTCTCTCTCTCTCTCTCTCTCTCTCTCTCTCTCTCTCTCTCTCTCTCTCTCTCTCTCTCTCTCTCTCTCTCTCTCTCTCTCTCTCTCTCTTTCTCAGATATATCATTATATTCTATAAATTGCCATTAACTTCTATATGCAGGGTATTTTTTTGTGAAGGTTATTGGCTATTTGGCTACACTGGCTATTTAACATCTCCCCAGAAATGGGGGGACATTGGCCCTATAATCATTTCTAAATGTTCAAATATTATAATGTTAGCAACACCACTGTCTAAATGTAAATTATAATATATATATATATATATGAGATCTACAAACTGAAGTGTATTAAATTGTAATGTCAATGCATGAATTAAAATGCTTTAAACTAATAAATAAAATGTTGTCAATCCGCGTGAGCGCATGTCTGTTCGCCCTTTTCTCTTTCTTTCAGAAGGTGTGACGCGGGGAAGGCAATTACCGCTCAGATTCTTCTCACAGAGGTCTGAGGGACAAGGCAGCACCCGCTGCAAAACAACACCATTCTTATCTGAGACAAGGCTTATATTAACGTGTCGTCACTCTAATTAAAGCATCACTCAGCAACATGAATCTACTCATACTGGCGACTCTGTTCTCTGTGGTTTTGGCCGAAAAATCACCCCGGCTGAAATTTACCGTGATGGGTAAGGCTTTATTTTCTTCAATGATATTTTTAATTCTGCTACGGATTCGGTGGAGAGGTCTGGAATTTTCTCGTTCTCAGGTTCTGTCATGTTTATCCTTACTGAAGCAGAAATTGCAAATCTGATTTTCCCCTCAAGAAAAAAATGCTGCGTATTAAGTCTGGAAGTAGGAAGTAAAAAAAAAAAAAAAAACAGAAAAAAAGTCCAATCGCAATGTTAGTAAATTGAGGCAAGCTAAGATGAGGCACTGACTGCTTTACATTGCTGTTTTGAAAACAAAAAACAATTGAGGCTCACATGCACGTCATGACTTCACATCATGACGTATGTGAGATATTAATCATGGTTAAGAGTACACAAGCCTAGACTACAATGAAAAAATACAGTAAATGCATCGCGTTAATACTGACGTTGTATTAAAATGAAGCGTATAGCGCCAATGCCAACATATAGCCCATCCAGCCTATTAAGTATAACTGATGGTTCATACAATGATGCTGAAAGATTTTTGCCTGTGTAGTCATAGTAACATCTCCCGAAGATATGTTAGTGGTGTATGGGTTGGTCAAGAGCGAGTGGTCTTTAGTAAACACACTCCTGAATCTTCCTGGAGGCTACTGAATAAGTAATTTTCTAAAACGACCTTTCGTTTTCTATCTAAACTTGTAAATGCATCGAATGACATTGCTGTTTTGAAGCAATTTTCCTGTAGAATACGCAGCAAGTGGGTTTGTTTTAAGAAAAGCAGGACGCAATCTACAGAGCTGCAATGCAGGTGCGTGAGCTAACGGGAATGATGGCACTGCAGCAACTGAAGCATTTCCAAAACACAGGGTACAACATGCGATCCAGAGAAAAACACACTCGCATTTGTAGAATAGCCCATGGAAAATTCCACGAAACCCACCTTTATTATTTATTCCAAGCACGTTCACAGACTTCTATACTATATCATCAGCATGTCTCACGGCCATCCCCTCAGTGTTACGGGATACTAAAACCTCTCACAAATACACATATGAGAAACCGTGAGAGCCCAATATAAGACACCATTGAGCTTGTTGCTTGACCGCGCACTTCAGCACCACGGACAGCGATCTCTTCAATTCAGCTCACGTCTTCTTGAATCACCAAGGATGCGATCGGGAGACAAATTCTCTGATGAAATAAAGTGTTATGGAAAACGAGAGCTGTATATGCAAATAGAAACCGGCTCAGACTGGTCTGCAGGCTTTTTCGACCTCTTCAGCCCCCCCTTCGAATAGCCAGTTATTGATTGTGCTGAAATCTACCAGCGCAGACCGAGACAAACACCTGTTGCAACGTGTTAGTTTTATGAAATAATCGCGAAGCTCCTCTCTATATGATGCTGTATCAAAACAATTTTAATTTTACGGTTACCTGACAACCAAATTTGACAGTATATTCTCCATTCAGGTCAAATGAAAAACGCCCACATTAGTGGCTAAGGCATTTGAGCTAATCATTTAAGATCTGTAGTTCTCAACTGGTTTTGCTCTAAACCCCAGATTTTACAGTGAAAATTAAATGATAGCATTTAAATAATATGACATAATATTTAACATAACATTTAACAAAAGCACAGGTCCAACAATATGCAAAATGATTTATATAGAACAGTCTAAAAGGAAAATTGACAGTTTTGTTAATGCACACAACAGCAAAAATGGGATGACCAACACTGACTGGACTATGTTATACTTAACTATTACTATAAAACCAAGTGATGATTTGGACCAAAACACTATAGAGTTTGGATGCAATAAGAATCGTTTATTTTTTTATTATTTTGCGTTCGCTATATCCTAAATATACACATTTTTATGGCTACTTAATGTTATTTGTATTGTTTTTTCCCTGTGGCCCATTTTTGAATTGCAACCAACCAGCTGAGAACCACTGATTTAGTAGACGTACATTATTCATTTGTGCAATATGTGAACATATACAACATACAAATGTCCAAAACCCTGTTTATACACTGCATTTCTGCATTTCAGAATCCCCTCGGTTTCGCTTCATGAAACCGGAGAACTACACCACGGTTTACCACCAACAGGAAACTGATGTCCTGTATGTGGGGGGCCAAGGAGTCATCTATAAGCTCAGCTTCAGTGATAAAGGAGTGCATGACAAGCAGGTAGGGGGGATGACACCATAACCTGGAGCTAAAGTAGATCTATCACTGCTCTAAATCCTGACCTAGATAGCTGGTACTCGGCAAGTAGCAAAACTGTGGTATTATTTATGGAGCAGAACAATGTCTTATAGTGGAGGTAATACTGCTTGCATAAAAGCAAGCTTTTCTTTGCAATGATGGATAGTTATAGCTTCTTATCATTTTACTATAGCCATAACATTTTATGTTCTGTTTTCTCATTGTAATTATAGAATATCCAGTAGCTCTAAAATGATGAGAACAATTCATCCCCACATTATTATGTATGCAAGGCTGCATGATTAGTAATGTTGTTGATGTGCTCACAGATCCCTGTGGTAATGGATGAGAATGCAAAAGCGAAGTGTGTCTCATCAGCATGGAAGGTAAGAGAGACAATCCCACAATATTCAGTCAGTTCAGACCTCAAGCTTGGCATCTCAAGCAAAGAAAAGGATTATCTTAACTCATTTAAACCGAGCGATTCAATTCACTCACATATCTTACTGTGCACAAGAAGTGACTAGCACAATGTGTCCAGTTATCCATTTCTCATAAATCCACTGTGTGAATTACACACATCAGGATAAGCTGGATTATAATAAATAGTGAATTCTGAAAAGGACTTTAATCAGAACATTTATGAACGTATTTCCCAGACGCTCTTCAGCCTGGCTGGATTCACTGCCCTGGTTCAACATCTACAGAAATAGTCATCCATGATGAGCAGGTCATCACTCAGAGTTGACTGAATGAGGCTATTTTTAAGGGTAATGGCACAGACAGAAAGCCAACACATGAGTGATGGGCTCCTTTAAAATCGAAATAAAGATGGTTGTTGGGGTGTTTATGCTGAAGTTGCAAATACAGTTAGCATAGAAAAAGGAAAAGGAAAGAGCCTCTCCAAGCCCACAATTAGATGGCATACTGTATTTAGCAACTATATTCTTTCTATAATTTATAATATATGATGTCTGTATGTTTTGCATTGATCGTGTTTTTTCATCTTTCTATAGCAAGAGTGTGATAATTTCATCTCAGTAATTGAGAAAGTCGGTGATTCATTCGTGGTGTGTGGGACAACAGCGGGTTCTCCTAAATGTTATCTCCTGGTAAGATGCCTTACCCGCAATTGTATATGCAACTCTCACAATCCAGAAGCAGTTTAAACTCCATCTGTAAGCAAACCACAAAAGTGTTTAAGATTTGGACATGTTCCTCTTTGTTAGTCTTCAAGATACAGTCTAAGGCATAGGTCTTCAACCCTGCTCCTGGAGGCCCACTGTCCTGCAGAGTTTTACTCCAACGCTAATCAAACACACCTGAACCAGCTAGTCAAGATCTTCAGGATCGCTTGAACATCACAGACTGAAGCAGGTTTGATATAAACTCTGCAGGGCAGTGGGCCTCCAGGAGTAGGGTTGAAGACCTCTGGTCTAAGGTCCTGTTCCAAATGGCACCCTAAACACTCGCTCGCTTCAGTGTGGGCTCGGCATCGAGGGCGCATATTGACTGCAAAGGGGGCGCTCGTGAGCACCATGCTGAAACCTAAAATGACAAATGGGACACCATGCGGTCTCATGAACTTAATGGACATGCGCACGTGGCAGACATTGTAGGTCCACAAGACTGAAAGTGCACATGAAGTATGCCATTTGGAAAAAAAAGGGCCTAAAATTGCAGAAACAAACAAAAAATAGATGTGCACACCACACCTGCTAAATGCAGACATGTCGGGTTTATTTCAAATAATAAATGATGTTGCGAAGACACTCATCCAATATTACTCATAATCTATTTCATATGCTTTAGCATTTTCTGTGATTACATGAGAAAGCGAAGGAAATAAGATCAGTTTTCCTTCTGAGCTCAGCTGCGTTGACAAAATTCAGGCTGTTAACTTAACCACTTCTGTATTATTGTGAATATATTTATAACCTTTGTGTGTCTCTGCTGTGGGTTTATAACCGAATCATTTAACAGTTCCAACGGTGCTTAGATTAAAATGACAGAACTGAAAGTAGTACAATAAAATGTGAGTTTGACATCCTGAAATGTGGGACACACATTTAGTGGATGAATAATATTATGTAAAAAAAAAAGTGTTCTGCTAAAAAAAGTGGTATGATTTCTCAAAGTGCTACAGTGCCACTGCTGTTTCCTTCACAAAAGCCCGAGAATTACTGAATAATCACATCATCTCTCTCATCCAGGTAAATGACAGTGTACTGAGGGAAATGCCGGCGGAAACAGCAGCGTCTAACATCTTGGCACCTTTCCCTTCTCAGCGCTCCATCAGTCTGTCAGCAGGTAAAGGAGAGGGAAAGGGAAGGAGATAATGCGGGAGAGAATGTTTTGTTCATGTTTTTTATTTAGTTATTTCAGTTGAATAGGTATTTGTTTCTGAAGTAGAGCAGACTGTAATGTGACATGCTCAAAGCTTCAAATCTTGTCAGATCTCTTTAGAAAATACAGTGTATCAGAGGAAATGTAAAAGAACAAATTCCAAAAAGATCAACACTCCCTGTAGTATATGACAAAAAGAGATCTTGCCCTTTTCTTTAGTGTTTTAAATGTCAGATACAAAGTTGAGTATTACATATGCCATGTAAGTTAGCAGAGCTGAAAGGTCAACATTGATTCTGAAAGAAATTGTATGTCTCAACAATGTCTCCATCTGTCAGTCAGAAGGAAGTAGTTCGCAGTGCGTTGCAGCCCTCTTTTTTACTTTGAGTATCAAAGTATTGCAAACATTGCTAAATTTAAATCAAAGTTTCAGAAAGTTTCAAATCTTTGAGAGGTTTGACTCATGGATATACTTATCTTTCTCCTTATTTAGATGGGAATCTGTACTCTGCTCTGTCAGCGGTTGCAGGACAGCCTGGCTCTATCCGTCGCACATATGGCTCCAAAAAACAGCTGAAGTCAGAGAATAAATGGCTACTGAGTGAGTTGACTGTTGTTATATATACTGCATTAGCAGTTTGGAGATTGTCTTGATGGACTGAGCTAATGGATCCTACAGTATGTCAGCTTAAAACAGAGTTTGTTTAAAAACCTGACCAAAAGTAAAAAAAAAGAAAAGAAAAAAAGATTTTTTAAAATGTTTTCAAAACAAGTCCCTTATGTAAACAGTAATATGGTGGAATATTATTACAATGTAAAATAACGTTGTTTTTGTTTTAATATATAATGTATTCCTGACTGTGATGGTAAAGCTGAATTTTCATTAGCCATTACTCCAGTCTTTAGTGTCACATGATCCCTCAGAAATCAGTCTAATATGCTGATTTGCTGCTTTATGCTGAAAATATGCTGAAATCAGCTGCTGATTTCTTATTATTATCGATGTTGAAAATGGTTCTAATGCTTAATATTTTTGTGGAAACTTTTAAAAGAACAACATTTGTTTGAAATATATATACTTTTTGTGATAATGTAGAAATCTTAACTTTTAAACTGAATCTCACTGTAAAAAATTTCTTGTCAAATTAACAGTAACTTACTGGCAACAATTATCCAGTAGTTGCTGTATTTCATTCAACAGTAAAATTACTGTAACACTAACTACAGTAGTGTTAAGCATACTGTAAAATTAAATACATTATTTTACTGTAGTTTTATCATCATGTTGAACTACAGTATTACACCGTTAATTTTTAATAATACTGTATAGTATTATACAGTTATGAAATGTTATTTTATTTCTTTTATAGTGCTACTGTGTAACCTGTAGAATATGTAGAAAATCTGTAGAAATATTATTTTAACTGTTACTGGGAAATAGAAAAAAGAACAATTGAAGATTTAACTGCACAACCAGGTTTATTGTGTATTTTCAAACAATACATTAGTAATAATAATGTAATGTAATACAACAATAAAAATCTGTTTTAAAAAAAGACTAATGAACAATTTATCATTAATAATTAAAATCAGTGAACAATTCATGTATTTCAATTCATGCAAAAATTATCCTGAAGAGGTAAAATAGAAACTTGAAAGCAGAACAGGCGAGGATGAAGGCCAGGTGAGGAAAAAAGTGGAAGAGCAGCGACAGCACTTCTGATAATCCTGCAAGAAATGATAAGCACAAATCAATCAGAGGCTAAACATTCAACTAATAAAAAAAAAAAACTAAATCACATTATCAACACCTTTTAAGGGGATTCACACAGAAGAGTGGGCCGGTTTCATACGCTTACAGTTATTTCTAACTGTACACAAAAGCTTGTTATGCTTCTTGATATTGCAAACTGGTATTCCTTACCCTATTATTTCAATGTATTGAATTTGTCATAATTGTAAACACTAGTTTGAGGCACAAATATTTTTATCATTTACAGCATTTGTTATTCATCTCTTATTTCCTTATAGCGGCTAATGAACCGGAAGTCTCGCACATTCACAGAAAATAGCTTACTTCACTTTTGAAGTTGAAAAATAAGGTGGATATACTGCTTGCATGTTGTGTGGCATACATGGATATACATATATCGACTATATTAGGGGTGGGGAAAAAAAATCGATTCACATATGAATTACGATTCCATCTTCTGCGGATTCAAACCAATTCACACATTTCAAAAATCGATCTAAATGTTTAATAATGTGATGATGTTGTTTCAAAGAAGGACAGTTTAGAGAGTGCACAAGCTTGAAACAGAGAAAGCATTATGAATGAAGCTTATACTTGACTACAGAAGTTCATATCAATATCTTAACAAATAGAAAATAGTCTTAAATAATGTTTAGTTAGTCGAGCACACTTCAGGCTTTTCTTGCGATCTTTCCATGTACAGGTAGGCTACTTTAGTTTTTACATACAAGAAACACGTTCAACATGGACACGCAAACGGTTTTCTGTGGTAACGAACAAATACCGCCTATAAAAGAGCATGAACATGTCCTGTATCAGAGGCTAAAGTAATAAATATTGAGAATGCAATGGCCCTTATTCTATATCTCTGACTAGGGCTGTCACTTTTGAGAAAAATCTAATTCGAACGGATATCGAATATCAAGCAATGTATTCGAATATATTCGAATATCTACGAGCGCTACCAAAACCCCACCCCCACCAAAAAAAAAAAAAAAGCGGAACAGCACGGCACAAACAATAACGTGACAACTTAAACAGCAGCAGGAGTAAGGCCTATATAGCCTAGCCTAATTCATTTCTTAATATTGTTTGCTAGAAACACCAATTTATCAACTTGATCTGGATGCGGCTCTCTTGATGTTCCCCGTGGTGGAGAACACGCGCTCGGAGCGCGCACACGTGCCTGGCACACACAGGTATTTGCGCGTCTTTACATGGACCCTTTATAATCGGATTGACGGCTCAATCGGACTAAAAAACCTTCATGTAAACACCTTAATCGATCCGATGGTTTACTCCTTTTGTAATCCGATCGAGAGAACATGTAAACACTTGATCGGATTGAAAACCGAAACTAAAAGGACTGCGCATGTGCAATGACGTATTATGCACGGAGCGAGCTGTTCTTCCTGTTGAATAAAGTGTCATATAAATGAGTTTTCCGTTATTGAAAAAATCTCATTTCACTCAGCTTCTGTGAAGTGGAGCAGAACAACGTCTCACCAGTACTTGTTTCAGATTCTCATCCACAGACGACTGGTTTTGGGCGCAGGGTTTTACTCCGTGATCAATATAAGCAGCACGGCAAATCATGCTCATCGTCTCCAAATCATGACCAGAGACGGATAAATATTAAGTCTGCTGTTTAAAACAAATAAAGAACCAATAGAGGAGAATAGTTATGCGCGAACAGCGGCATATTCGTGCAGTGTGCGCATGTCAAAAAATCAATTCGATTTGAATCTTGTGACATATTACGCACACATTACTTTATGTATCGTTCATGTAAACACCGTGTTCGGATTCATCAATCGAATTGTCCATTTCCAGACACTACTTTTTAGATGAGTTGGGTTTGAAATTGCCCGCTCAGGCTGGCCGTTCTGTGCGTTATCTTCCATTTTCAAAACAGGGTGGCTATTGGCTATTATTCGCTTGATTTGATCATGAGCTTACGCTACAATACGTTTAGAGTGCCCGCTACTGGATGAGATGGCAAACAATAAAATAAAAAACAAACGGTCTAATCATAGACTGTAAGAAATGCGCTAAACATGGCACTTTAAAAACCGGTTAGTTTATTTATAGTTCGATTACGGATATTTCACGTCATGTTCAAATGCATATTCGAATATCGAATAAAAAGTGACAGCCCTATCTCTGACTCCAAACAATCGGCCACTGATGAGGGCTGCGTTTCCCCAAAGCATTGTAACCTTAAATTAATTATAGAACAATTACCACCAATGGTCTACAATCAATTTAGGCTTACGATGCTTTTGGTAAACGCAACCCAGATCCTGATGATAGTCAGTTCCTTTCATAGATATGTCTGTTGACTTGATGCTCACTAATTTGAATGATGAAAAAGATGCGTGTATGAACGCTGAGCGGCAGCGGGCTAGATTAAATTAACGCAGATATGAGGTGTGTATAATTTAAACTAAATAACTCCCACTCGATTGGAAATAACAGTAGCTGCTGTTTATTTCTATGCTGTTCGATTTTGAATCAAATTTAAATTTGATATATGCATAGAATATATTTAAAATCTATGATCAAATGTAAATCTATGCATATATCAAATTTTAATTTGATTCAAAAGAGAATTGATTTTTGAATCAAATCGTGACCCCAAGAATCTATTTGAATCGAATAGAAAATGTATGGTTTAAGTCATTTCCGCCCTTTTTGGATTTTTCTAAATACAGATTCAGACACAAATAATTTCTACCGATATGGGCTCCGCTGCACATCCCTAATATATCTTACCTTAATGATTTTGCCAGTCATATTCCGCAAAGTCCCTGATGAAAGATGTGTGAATTCAAAGACATGTTCTTCCTCCGAACAACCTTCCCACTCTTTCTGCTCCCCTGGAACTGTGATGTGCATTTTGAATTTTCAGGATTTATCCTGAAACCTGTAAATAAATCAAAAAATATTTTCCAACTGAATAAAAAACAACAACTCTTACGGACCATTTCTTTAATTATAGTCATTCTAACTGCATTCTAATAGGCTTCATCGCGCAGTTTAAATGGATAGTTCACTTCAAAATGAAAATTCTGTCATCATATACTCACCCTCCAGTTGTTTCAAACCTGTATACATTTCTTTCTTCTGCTGAACACAAAGGAAGATATTTTTAAGAATGTCAGTAACCAAACAGTTAACTGGGCCCATTGACTAAGTATTTTCTTTATCCTACTGGTATCCTAGGATAGCTATGGATAGCTATTCCATAGCTATGGAAGTCAATGGATCCAGTTAACTGTTTGGTTATGAAAATATCTCCCTTTGTGTTCAGCAGAAGAAAGAAATGTATACAGGTTTGAAACAACTTGAGGGTGAGTATATGATGACAGAATTTTCATTTTGAAGTGAACTATCAAGCTTGACTCTCAAGGCGTCGTTTTTTTTTTCTTCAAATGAGTAGTCAGTTTGCACATAGTTAAAACAACAATTACGATATTATAGCTGACAATACTGTAAATGACATACCTAGCTTTGTCTTTTGGACAAAAATGCACACTTTTTAACGCTTCCATCAGATAGACTGAGGTAAATATGAGCGCGCAACTGCACAAGGTTTACTGGCTGATCGTCACAGACGAGTAAAAGAAAATAGTGATTTACACGAAAATAAGCGCGAATAAATCGATAAGAGGAATCGTAATGTTAATTTTTATAACAATAATCCGAATCCTAACCTTGGGTATCCGATTTCAGGATACATTTCTCGATTTTCAATTCCCAACCCTATGAAAATGTAGGCTACGTTACCCGCAGGCGCTTCCACCGACTTAAAATGGTAAATAACAAAATGTTTAGATCATTCTGACCGTATACGTGGTCAGCTAATAACTGTAAAGTTAATAATTAGCTAGAATCCATGTATGCATACAAATAATAAGATTTATTACTTACCAGATGATGACGAAGTTCCCCAGGTCGGCAGAAACAGACACGATCGATGCACTGACATGACAGTCACAGAAGAAAAACTCGTTCAAACTCAAATGCGCTCTCATGCACCCCCCACTGACAGAAATTAATACTGTCATGGTCACCCCATCCTGAAAATGTTTTATGTAGCCTAAAAATAACGTTGCTATACCAATTTTTCCTGCGGAATTGTGTGTGGTTTTTTTCGCGGTCAATTTGCACTGCTGTATTTAGATTTACAGTAACTGATCATTTCCCAGAATGCATTGAAAATCAACAGTAACATACTGTCAACTGTGTGCACAGTACATAACTGTTGAAAATACAACATAATACTGTGACAACATCTAAATCTACTGTAACTTACTGTACATAGGTTATACAGTAAGAAACTGTTGAGAAAAACAGTATAATCCTGTGAAAACAACAGAAATCATTTACAGTGTATGACATTCATGCAAATTATTAATTATTAATAAACACTATATATATCATATATATCATCTAATGAATGGTTTACTTAAATCTCTACATATTAAAGGGGTCATATAATGCCATTTTTGTACAAGCTAATATGATTCTTTAGGGTCTAAATTAAAAGTTTGTAATATACTTTAATTAAAAATTCTCATTAGTATTGTAAGAAAACAGTTATTTTATCTGGTCAAAAACAGCTCTGTTTTCAGCACGCCGTTTCAGTGCATATGCCTTTAAATGATCATGAGCTTTGCTCACCCCGCCTCTCTGTTCTGTGCGTACACGTTTGTAACACAATAACCATAACGCGTTGTTCATTATAAACGTGGGATTATGAATTATATTGAGAACGTCGTACATAGAAAACATGCCGTAATGTACCCTGAGTGTAAACCTTAGACTCATTCATCGTGAAGCGTGCAAGCGATTTGCAAAGATATAAATATTAATATAAAGGTTAATAAAACGTTACACTCACTTCAGTTGTTCCAGAGGTTCACCAGGAACACGAATATCTGGTACCGATCCTTTATTCAGGAGCAGCTTCTTAGCAAAACCAGCTTTATACTGACCCTCGTTTATAAAGCAGTCTGCTGAGAAATGATTCGCGCAAACATGAACGCATTGACGTTGCTCGTGGGGAATATTCCCTTCGAAAACAAAACTCAGCCACTGCGTCTTCAGCGGTTCGGATTTAGGAACATCAAAATTACTGCTGTGTTCGTTATTACACCCAAGAACAGAACACCACAATCGCTTAGACGCCATTCTGCTCATAGACAGTGCTCCAGCATATCAACAATGACCGCGCCGGTCCGCGCAGACTATGATTGACAGCTGGCTCACGAGCGAGGGCGGGTCTGTGTTGAAACCCGGCTGTCAATCAACAATCGCGGGAGGGGCGTGCGAGCGTGTGACGTCACACGGTCGAACGGCTCGATTTGAGGCAGGGGAAAACATATAAGGAGATTAAAACAAAAACACTGGATGGATTTTTATCATTATATGATGGTTGTGTACAGGCACTGCCAACACACATTTCAGTACAATCAACTTGAAAAAGTGCATGTACCATTATATGACCCCTTTAAGCTAGAATAGGAGAAAGCATTTTAAACATCAAAAAATTGTATTTCAACAAAGATAAAGGTTCAAAAACTAATTCTTTATATACAACAGAAAGAGTCTATGAAAATAATAAATCTGCACTCACCCTGTCTCTCAGATCCCCAGTTTGCAGGAGCCGCTGTGATACCACACAAAGAGAAACTCAAAGATGAGATATATTTCTTCTTCAGTGAGGTCAACAGTACAGCCAATCTAGATGAAGAGCCTTACAGGGCTCGGATAGGACGAGTCTGCATGGTAACACGCTCTTAATCCATTCCTGCTTCAGATACCCTGCTGTGAGGGCTCTAGGTTTCTGATAACCTTTGCATCTGTGGCTCAGGTTGATGACGGAGGGCTTCAGAATGTGCTGCCAAACTCCTGGACCACATTCCTGAAGGCACGTGTGATGTGTGGGAAAGCTGGAACTCCTGTGCAGTACAACAACTTCAAACAGGCCTTCGTTCTGACCTCTCATCTCCGCACTGGGTTGATATATGGCCTCTTCTCCAATGCCTGGTAAGCAGATATGTGACACAAGTACACGGGTATATTTGTGGCAATAGCCAACAATACATTGCATGAGTCAAAATTATCGACTTTTCTTTTATGCCAAAAATCATTAGGATATTAAGTAAAGATCATGTTCCATGAAGATATTTTGTAAATTTCCTACCGTAAATATATAAAACATTTATTTTTGTGAGTGAATGCAGCACAATCGTTAACATGAATTGACAACTTTAAAGGCCATTTTCTCAATGTTTCGATTTTTTTGCACCCTCAGATTCCAGATATTCAGATAGTTGTATCTCGGCCAAATATTGTCCTATCCTATCAAACCATACATCAATGGAAATCTTATTTATTCAGCTTTCATGCGATGTATACATCTCAATTTGACCCAAAAATTGCCCCTTGTGACTGGTTTTGTGGTCCAGGGTCACATATGAAGTCTAAAAGTGAGTAGGAAGACATTTGACATCATGCAGTTGGATAATGCCTTTGGCAAGACTTCATTATTCACCACAAAATACATCTCTATAGATTTTTTGGTAACACTTTACTTGAAGGGGTGTGCATAAGACTGACATGACACCTTCATAACCATGACATGACATATGTCATGAATATGAAGTAGGGTTTATGCATGTTTATGACAACTGTCATTAAGTGTCATTCGCTCAATAATGACATTTTGAATGAAAATATGACATTGTTTAAGATGTCTTTGTTATGACATCTTGACATAAACCATAACATCATAACCTGTCAGTGTCTTTGTCATGACAACTTGACATTAAATTAAATTAAACTGTCATGTGGTTGGTTTTGACACTGGCTGTCATGAGGCCATTATAACTGTGTCATGAATATTTTCCGTGACCTCAACTACAGTGGTACACATTCAATTTGTCATTAAAAAGTTATAATGGCTTCATGACAGCCAATGTCAACACCAACCACCTGACAGTTTAATGTAATTTTAACCAATAAAGCTAAGTGGTTTCTTAAGTTTGATAATTAATCTGCTAGGTCATGTTTATGACAGGTTGTGTTGTCTTAGTAATGTCAAGTTGTCATGACAAAGACACTGACAGGTTATGATGTATTTGTTTATGTCAAGGTGTCATAACAAAGACATTTCAAACAATGTCATATTTGCATTAAAAATGTCATAACTGAGCGAATGACACTTAATGACAGTTGTCATAAACATGCTGTACAACTTCTTTCATATTCATAACATGTGTCATGTCATGATTATGAAGGTGTCATGTTAGTCTTATGCACACCCCTTCAAGTAAAGTGTTACCGATTTTTTTACTCAAAACACTGATAAAAACATTGTCAGTTGTGCTTACTTCAAGCTTTCTTTTATATAAACCATATTGGTACCGTATTGGTACTATATTGATCAATGTTACATTTATTTTTTCTCTTTTTCAATTTATCAGTTGGATATTTAATTGTGCATGCTGATTTCTCCTATTTTTACATTAACATTTACTGAAAGCTAATCTTTTAAAACATTCATTATTTCTTTACTGATGAATGTAATCTTTAACAGATCTCAGAATGAATATCCATACTTGATTAAAATCTGTTTTCCATGTTTATGTCTTCCTACAGGAACACCACTGTAGTGTGTGCGTACTCCATTGAAGACATTGACAGTGCCTTTTCTACATCCAAACTGAAGGGCTACAACTCACCTTTAGCGGCCCCTCGTCCTGGAACGGTACAGCACACATCAACCAAAGGCAGAATTATGTGCCAACAGATTCATTTTGTTATACATATTACATTCTAAACATTTATTAAATGAACTTTGAATGTATCGATAAAATACTATCCTACAATTTCATAACACAAAGGCACAAACTGATTTTTCATTTGTGTGGTTCGCCTTTATCCAGTGTGCTTTCAGGAACAATACTCAGGCTCATAACCAGAAGATCCTGACTGTGATAAGGGATCACCCTGAGATTGAGGATATGATCAAGCCGGTTGACGAAACTCCTCTGGAACTGCCAGTTCATGACCACTTCACACATCTTGTGGCAGACACAGTCTTGGCTGTCAATGATGAACACTACAGCGTCATTTATCTGGGCACAGGTATTCTGAATCATGGGGGTGGGGGGTGGGGGGTGCACTGATATTGTAATATCGGCTGATACTTATAAATAGCCGATTTTAATACTCTATACTATTTCGCCTAAATGAAGAAAGAATAAAACTTTTTAAATGGTACAAGTGAAATTAGGCATCACAACCTTATAATATAGTATGAAAATGGAAATTGCTAAAGATAATATTTAACAGTGATATTCATTTATTAGTGTTTTTGAAGATTAAGGGCCCTATCTTGCACCCGGCGCAAATGACTTTGTACACTGACGCATGTATCATTCCTATTTTGCACCCGCACAAAGCGGGCTTTTCCCTCCACAGACGCACGTCGGTAAACTAGGAAATGAACTTGTGCTCCCTGGGCGGGTCGGCGCAAAAAGGAGGCGTGTTTTGGCGCAAACATTCCCTAGTGCTATTTTGCAGTTCCAGAAAACAATTCCGCCACTGACCAGAAAAAACCTAGTCTAAAGTCAGTTGCGCGTTGTTCATAATGCTATTTTAAGCGCGCATGCTTGGCCATAATGTAGCGGGTGCACTACGCGCATACACTTTGATTCTCTCATCAACACAGATGCAGCAGTTTTTATTTTTGCAAATCATACATCATAACAAGGAAAAATATTAACACATGAGGGTAATCATTGTGGTGTCCATGAAGATGTAAAAAAATGTAGGCCTAAATCTAGCTTACACATTTACCCAAATTTTTCAGGCTAATTGTAGTAATGACAGATCAAACCTGTTTGCCCAATAGTGGCAAGACACATATGTATATAAGGACATCTGACAAATTAGTTTGTCCGTCAAGAACCAGGAAAAAAAAAACTCCCATCCCCATACAACGTCACTTCTCTGTCTTTCACTGCCCTGACAAGAACATCGGTCTCCTCGGCTGTGAACCGCTCCTGGCGCGCGCCTGGTAAATCCGCCATAATAATAACAATCCGCCTTGCAACATGCGCACCTGCTCTTAAAGGGTATGTTGGATGACGCTCTGATTGGTATATTTCACGTTACGCCCAAACCACACCTATGAATAATGAAGCTATTTCAGACCAACCCCTTTTAAACTTGCGTCGGGCGCAAGAGTCATTTATCCCGCCGGTAAAATAGCAACAGCGCCCAAGACCCGCCCACAAAGTTACTTGCGCTTCGCGCTTGATACTTGCGTTTCAGATCGTTAAAATAGGGCCATATGTGTTAGATGGCTGAAAATGTAGAAGTAGCAGAAATCAGCAACAATTAAATATCCAATATTGAGTGATACCGGGAAACTAAAACAAATCTCTGATATTGACAAATATTTAATTTTGCACCAACATCTTGCACCCCATATAATTTATTCTCATTCTATTATTGTTTTTCTATCTTTTCTAATGCTATTTTTCCTGTGTCTCCTGTACAGAAAAGGGTAAAGTCCTGAAGGTGCTCCATGCCATAGAAGGAGCCTTTATCATAGCACAGTATTCTTTATTCCACGATGATAGTCCCGTCATTAACATGGCAATTGACTCTAAAAAGGTACAGACCCACATTTTAATGATGTGAACTCACTAAAACAGGCCAATTTTAGCCTGCAGTGGTAGGACATATTATTCCACTGAATTATAATTATATATAGCTTTGAATTACTATTTGCACAATACAGTGAGAAAGTAATTCAAAGGCTGTTCACATAGATATTTAAAATAGAGTTTGATAGGATCCAGATGGCACCTTTCACCTCTGAATTCTGCTTTTTGCCAGGGTCATCTCTATATTGGGACAGAGCTTGAAGTGCAGCGCATCCCCCTGGCTGACTGTGGTCGATACGGAGTAGGCTGCCGGGAATGCATCCTTTCACGAGATCCATATTGTGCCTGGGACAAGTCCAAGAGGAAGTGTACTGCAATCCCAGCAGGCTACAACATTAGCACTGGGTACATATGCACTCAGAAATATCACACAATGATGCATTACTGTTCCCTTTCGAGGGAACTCGCGATGCGTCATCGACGCTTTGGGAACGCCCCCAGCGTGAATGCGTCTGAGCATCAATGTCAACTAGTCCAATGGAAAGAATGAGCGTCACGGGCGGGTGACGTCATGACCAGGAAGGCATAAGAGCACATCCGGTGAAACGCGGCATTAGCTTCTGTGTCTCAGCAAGCGATCTGTGTTACTCTGTCTCTGTCTATTTATTGTTGTCTGTTCGATATTATTGGGAAGAGTTATGGCGAAACAACTTTACAAACTCTGTGCTTCTCCCTGCCCGCATTATTTAACGGGTGGGGACACACACGAGCTTTGTGTAGTTTGTTTGGGAGTGGAGCATGCGGTATCAGCCTCCGAGGGGGCTGATTGCAACATTGTGAGAAGCTTTCGCTTCGCATGCTCCACTCCCGCCTGTCACTTTTCGAGGAAAGTGGCCAGGCTCGCGATCCTCAGGGTGCAGGACCCGCGTCTGCCGAGGCAGCGCGGAGAATGCATTCCTGTGGATCGCGAATAGGATCTCTTTACGGGGTTGGAGACGGGTCCGCGGATCTTATCTCCTCCCTTTCCACGAGGGATCCAGTGCTCTCTCTCCGGTCTCGGAAGCCCGCGCTGCGGTCTCTTCCGCCCGGGGAGAGAAATCAATGCTTCAGTGCTCTACCTCCGAGGAGGTAGATGTGCTGGGCATTGAAAGTGTACACAATCATGGGGGAAGTGGATTTGCCATCTCTTTCCCCAGCGTATGAGAAATATATAAGCCTTATATATATATATATATATATATATATATATATATATATATATATATATATATATATATATGATAGTTTATATATTATATATAAAAAATATATATATAAAAATAAGCTGGTGGAGGTGTTTAGTAAGGCTGTAGATAAATTAAATATTTAATGGCCAGCAGAAATAAGGGGGCACTCGTTCTAAAAAATAAAACGAGTTTCCTTCCCTCTATTTGTTCACCTCCATCACGGGGCCTTCCATTTTTCCCGATCTGCACAGCGAGCTGTCTAGATCATGGAAAAAGCCTTACTCTTCTTGTTTTTTAGCCCCCACATTCATGTATATTCAGATATTAGGGGGTTAAGAGAGTATGGCTATGGGGCAATACCCCGGTTAGAACAGACGCTTGCGAGCTATCTGTCTCCCGGTTCAGTATCGACCCTGAAGGCGTCGGCTTCTCTCACTAAACCATTAAAGAAAACTATTTTTAATCTAGTGGGAAAAGCATTTACGGCAGTGGGTCTAGCAGGAGCCTGCTTGCACACTATAGCAGTGCTACAAGCATATCAGGCTGACCTGCTGTGGTATTTGGACAGAAGTGAGGGAGTTTGGCCCGATGGGGTTTGAGAACTTCGTCGGGCCACAGATTTATCTCTCAGGGATGGCAGCCCTTGTGGTCACTGAGAGACACCTCTGGCTCAATTTGATGGGAATCATGGAGAAAGATACAATATAATCTCTCCCTCGCTATGTCCAACCCCCTGGGGCTGCTGGGCGTGAGCAGCTCCAGCCGTCTAGTTTCTCATACACAACACAGCAGCCAAAGCCTTCAAAGCAGAAGCCGGATCCGAGGACCGTTCTTCATGCTGAGAAAGCTTCGGCTCGAAGGAAAAGGTCTGGCGCCACCGGCGTCAGACCGTTGAGGGCAGCCCCAATGGAACGGAGTGGAATGGTGTACACCTCATTATACGGTGCCCTTTCCATCTCGGTGCCCTCAGGGGATCGTTCTGCCAACCCACCACCCTTGGTGCTCGGGGCGCAGCGGTCTCCAAGCGAGCTTCTGGCGCAGCGTCAACTCGACGTTGCGTCGGACTCGCGCCCTCTGAGGGGGGTTCGAAATCAGTCAGTTCGGGTGGTTCCTGCCAGTATGCTTCAGGTCCCCGAGCTGGCTGTCTTTATTACATCAGAGGCCAGCCTCGAGGGGCTGGTTCCCTTGGTAGATTTTCTGGCAGCGCATTAGCTACTGCAGTTAGTAGTAAGAGGCAGATTTGGTTCTCGTCCTCCAGGCTACAACGGGGTGTTGCTCACGTTAGTGCATTCCGAGCAGGCTCTGGTAATGGAGCAAGAGGTAAAGGCCCTGTTAGCAAAAAAAGCTATAGAGCAGGTGTACTCACCCGACATTGCGTCGGGTCTTTACAGTCGTTATCTCATTTCTCCAAAAAAGGATGGAGAGCTGCGTCACTTACTAGATCTTCGTCTGTTGGAGTGTTTGGTGCTGGAACTCAAGTCCAAGATGCTGACACTCAAACAGATCGTGACTCAAATCAGATCCGAGGACTGGTTTGTCACGATAGATCTAAAAGATGTATACTTCCATATCTCCATCCTCCCTCAGCACAAGAGGTTCCTGAGGTTTTCTTTGGGGCAAAGAACACCAGTATCAGGCACTTCCTTTCGGTCTAGCTCTATCACCCCGCACATTCACGAAGTGTGTAGCCGCAGCTCTGGCCCTGCCAGGCTGCAGTGTATACGCATTCTGAATTGCATAGATGACTGGCTGATTCTAGCGGAATCAGAACAGTTAGCGGTTCGGCACCGAGGTGTCGTTCTCGCTCATATGCAGATGTTGGGGTTGAGGCTCAATGCCAAGAAGAGTGTGCTTTCTCCAGTACAGAGAACCACTTTCCTTGGTGTGGTATGGGATTCAGTGACGATGCGGGCCACTCTGTCGCCCGTTCGTGTAGCTGCTATCCTAACAGCCACAAAAGAGCTGAGGCTAGGCCAGTCACGCACTGTAAAACAGTTCGAGAGACTGTTGGGTCTTGTGGCAGTAGCGTCCAACGGGATACCTTTTGGCCTGCTGTACATTAGACCTTTGCAGTGGTGGCTCAGGACCAGAGGGTTCTCCCCGAGGGGAAACCCACTTCGTATGATCAAGATCACGCGGCGGTGCCTTCGTGCCTTGGTTATATGGAGGAAACACTGGTTCTTAACCCAGGGTCCGGTGTTGGGTGCTCTTTGCCATCGAGTTGCTATCTCGACAGATGCTTCCCTCACCGGCTGGGGAGCGGTATTGGAAGGCCGCTCAGCTCAGGGCTTGGGAGGAATCATCATCTCGCTTGGCACATGAATTGCCTAGAGATGATGGTCGTCTTCAATGCGTTGAGACATCTCCTCCCAGACCTGAGGGGCCATTATGTGTTGTTCTGAAACAGTGACTGTTAGGCCTCAGGGCAGCAGCGTTCAATGTGATACCCTTTGACCTGCTGTACGTGAGACCTTTACAGTGGTGGCTCAGGACCAGAGGGTTCTCCCTGAGGGGAAACCCACTCCGTACGATCAAGATCACGCGGCAGTATCCCCGCGCCTTGGTTATATGGAGGAAACTCTGGTTCTTGACCCACAGACAACACGTTGGTGGCCTATTATTTTGGTCCCTCAGGAAATTACGCTGTCTGAGGGCAGTGTATATTCCAGGGGGGCCAGAATATTGGAGCAGACACCCTGTCGAGGCAGGGGCTGAGGCCAGGGGACTCCACCCCGAGGCGGTGGAGCAAATATGGGAGTTTTATGGCCAGGCAGAAGTGGATTTGTTCTCGTCTCAGCATACGACGCACTGTCCACTCTGGTTATCCCTCACTCAACCAGTCCCCTCGGGGCTGGTTGCTATGGTGCAGACGTGGCTGAGGCTACGTCTGTACGCATTTCCCCCTGTTGCTCTGCTCCCAGGAGTTCTGGAGTGATTCCGCCAGGATGGAATAAGCCTATTTAGTAGCACCACCCTGGCCGAGCTGAATTTGGTTTGCGGACCTAATTTTTCTCCTCGACGGACCTCCCTTGGAGGTCCCGATCAGGAGAGACCTTCTGTCTCAGGCAGGGGATGCAATATTGCACCCCCGGCAGGGGATTTGGAAACTGTGGGTTTGGCCTCTGAGGGGGCCCAACTCATAGAGAGTGGTCTCTCAACCGAGTTTGTTGAGACCATTCTAATCTCTAGAGCTCCCGCTACGAGGAAACTATATTCACTATTTCGAGAGTTTTTCACTTCTTGGTGTTACCAGCGTCAGTGGGATCCGGTTAACTGTTCAGTAAACACAGTATTCGAGTTTCTGCAAGAACGCTTTGTATCAGGTCTATGTCCTTCCACGCTTAAGGTATACATGGCGGCCATTGCGGCTTTCCACGCCCTGGTGGGTAGTACATTTTTGGGTCGAGACCCCCTGATCACTCGTTTCCTTCGTGGCACTTTGAGGCTGAGGCCTGCAACTTGCACTAGGGTGCTGGCTTGGGACCTTGCAATAGTTCTAGAAGGCCTATCTGGGGCTCCCTTCGAGCCCTTAGATTTGGTCTCAGAGAAGTTCCTTTCTTTTAAGACTATTTTCTGCTAGCTATTTCGTCCCTATTAGAGTCAGACCTTCAGGCCCTTTCGGTCCCCACCTGCCTTGAGTGCACCGGGGATGGCCAAGGCAATCTTACCCGAAACATGGATATGTTCCAAAGGTGCCTACCATTATTCCGAGGCCTATTGTGCTGCAGGTTTCTGTCCTCCTTTTACATCTGCGGACCAGGAAAGGCTAAACGCCTTATGTTCATCGGACATCTTCAATGAGGAAGTCCGACCAGTTATTTATTTGCTTTGGATCACCTAAGAAGGGTCTTCCTGCTTTTAAACAGACGGTTAGTAAGTGGATAGTTGAGGCTATTTCACTTGCATACGAGTACTCTGACCAGCCGTGTCCTTTGGCGGTCAGAGCTCACTCTACGAGGGGTATGGCGGCCTCTAAAGCCTTACTATTTGGAGTTTCTCTTCAAGACGTTTGTGATGCGGCAGGCTGTTCCTCACCGCTCACATTCGTCAGGTTTTACAGTTTGGACCTGGATGCTGCCCCAGGTTCTCAGGTGCTTAGTGCTTAGTTCCAACAGACTGACACTCAGGTACTTGGAATTCTGGCGTTTTGGGTATTCTCGTTCCCAAAGCGTCGATGACGCATCGCGAGTTCCCTCGAAAGGGAACGTCTCAGGTTACTACTGTAACCATAGTTCCCTGAGAAAGGGAACGAGACGATGCGTCACCCTGCCATACTTCCTGCATCCCTGTGATCGGCTTGCTTCGACTTTTTGAAGCTAATGCCGCGTTTCACCGGATGTGCTCTTATGCCTTCCTGGTCATGACGTCACCCGCCCGTGACGCTCATTCTTTCCATTGGACTAGTTGACATTGATGCTCAGACGCATTCACGCTGGGGGCGTTCCCAAAGCGTCGATGACGCATCGTCTCGTTCCCTTTCTCAGGGAACTATGGTTACAGTAGTAACCTGAGACGTTTTTCCTGAAGAAGTAACCTAAGTTTAATTATTTTTTCTCTATTTTGAAATCAGGACCCTTATTCAGACCCTTGACCACTCCAGTGCCTCGGTCTGCGGCGATGCTCCAGGTAAATTGTCTTTGAGACTTTTAAAGGTGCCATTTTTCTTGTCGTATCTCTGAAGCCTTTATGGCCTGAACCCTTGGAAAGTTTTCAAAACAGTTTCAGCTTCTTCCCAATGAAACCCATTTTTGCATTATTTCTAAATATAGTTTTTTTTATTCATATCACTTGCCATATAATATTTTTATATTATAAAATATAATGGGGGGGGGGGGGGATATGCGCGCTCTCATATACAGAGCTACAGCAAGTAATGACTACGCCACCCCAGCATTGAACTAGCTGGGGAAACACCAATTAAGGGCACACAAGTTCGATCTCCTTCCCACAATCACGGAACACTGAGGCGTGGATGCGTACAAAAGTAGATCTTTATTAGGTGATCATAAATAATTTAAGAGACCACTGGTACAGTAAAACATTAGTGGTGGCAAACAAGGCCACTAATTTATGAGCAAATTGGTCAAAGGAAACAGAAAAAAAAACAGGCTCTCGTCACTGAACTGTGGTGCACCAGTAGTTGGGCAGGCTAAGCAGTGGGTAACCCGTGCACCAAATCAAAACACACACACTCCAGTGAAATCCACTGCAAGAAAACCTACACTGCACACTCTTGGAAAAGGAGAGTTTCCATGCACCCTCCAAGGATAGCCAACCTGCCCACTCTGGGTCACCCCTGCTCCTAAAAAAAAAAGAAAAGCAATTAATAACAAAATATAAATGTGCATGAAACAACAGCATTAATTGCTCACAGCAATAATCAATTAACACAAAAATAAACAAACTTTTTTTGAATAAATTATAGGTCGCTTACCGACAATAAAGGCAAAAGCACAAAACAAATAAATTAATCTAAGGCTCCGAATCTAAATGTTAGCCAAACCAAAAAAAACTCAATCACAATAAACAATAAGCCAAAGGAGACAATTACAAAAATATTAATAACTCAAAGAAGTCTGAAAAGAATAACGAATTAAAATAAATAAATCATAAACCTCATAATATGAGCTGACGAACACCAAAACAACAAGAAAACAAAGATCACCAAAAGCAAACAAAATTAAAGCAAAACAAAACCGCAGCGTCGAGACTCGAGACTAAGCCATGTTGCGATCAAACGCCCAATTTACAGGCCGACAAGCAGGACTTCCCGTCAGACATCCGGCAAACCAATCCCTCATACAATTCACTGAACAGAGAAAGAACGCGTCATACATACACCAAATAAACTCAATAGTCCAGTGCAAGCACATGAACAAAACAATGAACATACCGAGCCGAAGAGCAGCAGTCACTCACAGCACTCCGCGAAGTTCGCGCTGTATGCAATCGATTTTCTTTCCAAACTGGAACTATAGCAGTAACGCAGGAGAACCAACCTCTCAAGCAGTACAATAAGTACCCACGAACAGACACCAGCTGAGCAGAAAGGTTAGTAAACAAACAATATAGTCGCCCAACCGTAGCCATGCCAAACAAAAACCTATACCTCAAACACAGAGCAGTGGAGAACAGGTGTTGTGCCAAATTATTACCCCCCTAGTATTGGTAGGTTTAGGATTAGTTGTGGGGGAGGGGTTAGGATTAGGGGTGTGGTTAGGCTTAGTTTAGGGAATCAGGTACTGACTTCAACGAGGGGTAATAATTTGGCAGGGGGTCGAAAACACCTGCAACCATAACGCCCAAATGACGCAATATCCCGCTAATCTGGGGATGCCCTTTATATACTGCCCGGTTAATAATCATGCGGCGGAGCTATCCATAAACGGCACTTCACCACATAAATATTCATTCATAATATAACTTTCTGCTCATCAATGAATACAAAATATTTATTTCCGTTTCCACATAAATATTAATCAGCACAGCAGTTTTTGACATTGATAATAATAAGAAATGTTTCTTGAGCACCAAATCAGCATATTAGAATGATTTCTGAAGGATCATGTGACACTGAAGACTGGAGTAAGAACTGATGAAAATTCAGCTTTGCCAGCGTAGGAATAAATTACATTTTAAAATCTATTAAAATAGAACACAGTTACTCGGAATTGTAAAAATATTTCACAATATTACTGTATCTTTTTTGATCAAATAAATGCAGCCTTGGCAAGCATAAGAGACATAAAAACATTACAAATCTTACTGACCCCAAACTTTTAAACAGTAGTGTATATATAAAATAAAAGTATTTTTATTAAAAATGGTTTCAAATATTCTAAAATGTTTCCTATAATTGTGGAATACAGCTCATAAGGCACGTAGCACCATCCCCAAGCAAGTTTTAGTGGATAAGGATGGACCGGTCCTGCTACCGTGCCCAGTGCGATCCTACCATGCCACTTACCGCTGGGAGAAAGACAACTGCATCAAGGAATATCCTTGCACCATCTCTGGCTCCTCCTGTGTGCTGGCACCCACCCCTGACCTGCCTCTGAAGGAGGGTGTGTTCCGCTGTCTGGCAGAGGAGAACGGTCTGCAACAGGAGGTGGTGTCCTACAAGCTAGTGTTCAACGGTGGACCCCTCTCCACCTCGCTAGCCTCCACCCTGGGGTCGGCTCTGCTGCTGGCTGCCGCGGCACACTGGCTCCTGTAGATCCAGTGAATCCTGAGGGGTCGGAAGGAAAAACCAGTTTTATGCTAAGGTCAGCAGAGCATGAGTACCAAGTCCAACTAAACTGCAGGGGAGCAGCTGGTCTCTATATAAACTGTGTTTCTTGTTTCTTATTCGGAGCAATTCTTTTCTTTGAAGGGCCGAGAAAATGCCTGAAATTGTCTCATTTTGCAAAATGCTTTATCATACCAAACACCAGTGTTATGTATTACATGAACTTATGTACTGTAAGTGTACTGTTTCATGCCCATCAGCCTAAAAGCAAGCATTTAGACTTATATACTGTATATTCAAATATCTAATACATGCGATGTGTACATTGCTTGCAAAATGTTAGTGCCATCTTTCAGATGTTTCAGAAGACTGCTTTGCTAACTACACTTAGACATGGAATCCAGATCAGTTATTTAACTTGGTTAGTTTTCTCGTTAACACTTTATAGAAAGGTTCAATCACTTTAAGGTGATGATACACAGGGCAACTTTTTGAGCAATGTTGCTGGGCAATCTTGCTGAGCGATTGTTGCTTGGGCACTTTCCCATTGAAAATGGGCAATACATTTCTATCTGGATAATTTAGATCGGTCGTGGGCCCTGTGTCTCATCTGGTTGCCCGTTGACGGCAACATTACCCAGCAACATTGCTCAAAAAGTTGCCCTGTGTATCATCACCTTTAGTTGATGCATTGGTTATCATTGGCTAATAATTAACTATTTTTTTTTACAGTATTTTGTTAACTAGGTTAATGTTAATTTACTGCTGTTAAACATTTAACACACATGTTACTTGTGAATACATGTTTGTTCATAATACATAAACTACTGTTCATTTATACAGCTTAAAATGCTAAAAATATATGTGTATGTAAGAAATGAACATTCAATTAATTATGTGTACTGATCATTGTTAATTCACGTTACCTAATGATTTAACCAAATTGAACCTTATTTTAAAGTGTTACTTTTTCGTTGGTATGTAGAATTACTGGGTTAAAAAAAGCGAGTATACATGCTGAAACATGAATTTGCTGTTATAAATCTTTTTATTTTTTTCCATTGTGTGCCATTAGAACAGTTCTGAAGCCTTAAAACAAGGATGAGTCCCTTTAAGCTGTAAGGGTCACATTCTAAGCACAACCTGCAAACTGAGCAGAACCTGCAGAATCTGCTGGCTTTGTCTTTCCACCTTACACAGAATGTTATTTCAGCATGATTTCAGGAGTACATACAGCTGATTTGTTTGTGCCTGTTTAAGAAGTCTGAAATAACTTATCAGTCACTACTAGAAATGTGAACTGCAAAAACGATACAAAACCAATACAGATTCAACTGTTTTTTGGTAAGTGTGAACAGGAAGAATAACCAGAATCCATAAAACCAGATAGTTTATCTCGGTATGTCACTGTGTGTCACTGATGCAATGAACTCTCTTGCATCCTTGACGCCTGTAATTTTCATGCTCATGTCATTTTTACATTTTGCGTTCAAATAAGCTTCAGTACATGTGATATGGAGTTGCATTTTGTAGTTGCAGTGTAAAGAGGCTTAATTATAATGTTGTTTTAATTGTAATGCTCTGCATATGCTGTTTTTCACCATTGCTGCCTATGGGAATAGAAAGCATTCCTGATGGATCTAAACAGTCATTCTGCACTAAGGTGTTCTGAGTGTAAATCTGTCACCATATTACGTCATATCATTTTATTTGATCATCACTTCAGCGATAAAACTTTATTTTATACACATTACAAAAAGGGAAAAATAAGATACTCATACAAGAACTTTCTAACTAGCACATAATCGTCTCTAATCGTCATCTGCACCTCTAACACACACACATACACCTCACCACTATTTTTGTTCTCTCTCTCTCTCTCTCTCTCTCTCTCTCTCTCTCTCTCTCTCTCTCTCTCTCTCTCTCTCTCTCTCTCTCTCTCTCTCTCAGAGCAACTGACCCCAAATGCCAAATTCGTCTTTAACCTTGTTCTTTCCACACTGTATTTTGGGAGCAGGGGTGTAACAATGGTGTTATGAATGAATTGATTAGTAATTAACCAGAAGTGCATTGTGTTTTCAGAAGATGGACTATTTTTTTTTATTTGTAGTTACGTCTTGTGCCATTCTGTTTCTTGCTCTACTGGTGACATAATCTGCCAATTTAATCAAAAGTTTGTTTTGTACTTCCATATGGATCTCTGAGTTGATGTTTGGGCATCACGAGATATTTAAAGTTTCATATAAGCCATGTAAATAGTCCAGGGACTGACTGCAGTGTTGCTTTACACATTATTTATGCTAGCGTGTGCTAACCTTCTGTTTGCATGCTGAATGCCACAGCACTGTTGCCCTCTCTGTGTACTCGTACCTCTGTCTCTTGGCCTAATGTGCTACACTGCACTAAATGCAGGAACGTTGTAGTGCCAAACCAATGTTGTGTCATTTTCATCAGAGAGCTTTTCTAACTTTTCCACTGTGCTTCAAAGCCAAACGTCTACCTTTCTGAGACACAAATAGCAGAATCTAGATTCACACACACACACACACACACACACACACAAAATCACTTTCGGCAGTGTAAATGACACAGGGTCTTTCCATTTAGATCACACAAAATCAATACTGTAAACAACTGTTACATGTTTATTTATTTTTATTCGTTTTTTACTCTGTAAGTGTTGCGAGGCCACTGTGTTTTTATTGTCTGTTATTTGCTATGCATTGTGTTTTTTGCCCGAGACTTGTGGCAGGGAGTGTTTTCTCATGTAGGGACGCTCAGCACGGTTTACTGCTCAAAGCATCTTGCAGTTGTGTAAGCTTGCACTTAATAATTCATATTTATAACTGGTTACCAAAAGTCAGCAATTTTTTTTTCTAAAGGGGTTGAAGACATTGTAAAATTTAATTATACATTAAATGTTTCCCTGAAAATGTGCATTAAAATAAATAACAAAAATATCTACTGTATTTATGTTTTTGATTGTTCATCAATGTTTTTTTTTGTAAAGATATATGTATTTACTATTTTAACATGTACAGTACATGGAACAAACTTGCTATTGTGCAGTTTGTGCTATTGTGGTTGTAAATGTTGCTTTTCACCAAACCATTCCTTCAAAATTGTGAAATGTAGTCTAATGTAAATATTGGTTTGATCACCAAAACACAACAGAATTATTATTTTTTTTTTTTAAATGGTAAACATGGCAAGATGTTTTCGATTGTGAAAAGAAAATTTATATAAGGTTAAGTATTTCTTTATTAAACACATTGAGTGTAGTAAAAAAAAAAGAAATTGGTTTTGAGAACCAAACTAAGTCAGTAGAAAATGTTCAAACAGGGGAAAAAAAATGCATTAATTAAAAAAGATTTTAATTATTTTGAAATGATTACTAAAGCAGTTCGACTAAAGACTAAAAATACACCACTGCTTTATGAAACAGTATATTCAAACTATTAAAAACGCTGTTAACTTTGCAACTAGGCATATCAATTTGGGAGTTACCTTGGCAAGAAGCACTCATCATGTGTCAACTTGTTAATTTAGCAGATGTCTTTGGCAAAGGCAGACAGTGCACTAATTGCAGTGACATCTTCGGAGGCCCCTGAGGCTGTGTAGGGCTTAGGAATTAAAACCAAGTACACCTGGCTGCAGCCAGCATTTACTCTGATTGGCTCATCCGACTTCAATAGGAATACATGGTAGAAAATAGTGTTAGTAGTTGGTGTAGGTCAGAGAAGTGCATGGATAGATGAGCGAATGTAATCAATCAAGTTACAAAACTAAAAGAGAGGTGTCTAATGCCACATAAATAAGATAGAGCTTAAAGCTACAATATGTACGATTTTTGTAATAAAATATCCAAAAATCACTTGCACAGTGTGATATATTTCCTGAAGTTGTGTACTTACAATATCCCAAAAGTTCCCAAAGATTTTTAGTTTCAGAGAAATTCCAATTTTAAATAATGACTCGTCCCTGTTCACTTGTCGCCTGTCAATGACGTAATATCCGCGTTAACCCTGGTTTCTGCTCATACTGCCATAGTAACCATGGCGACAGACGTGGACAACTGCGTTACGTCTCTAGCGGTACGCTCACACTGTTGTTGTTTCGTTCAAACATTATGGACCATGGCAAGCAGACTTTGGGACAAAAGGAGAACTAAAACGAGAATCAATATCAGCGTGGAGTTTTCGAGATGCCAAGAGCTCCACGTTCGTGACAAACTTTGACTTGACAGAGACGCCGTGAGCAAATGTACATAAAACTAATCAATGTTATATAGCTCAACATGATGAAATGTTAGAATATGATCAGTATGTTATTCTAATGTTGATCTAGCTTACTGCAAGTCCCATACAGACAAACTAACACATAGAATAACATTATAACTTTCAACACACTCAAATGCAGTTGTGTGATAGTGTAGACCAAGTGAAACAGCGCTGCGTTACCTCACAAGTTTCATTCGTCTAATAAACTGACCTGTGTGAGTAGTAATTGTACGCGCGTTGTGGACCCGCCTATAAGCGCACATTACGAACGCGCTCTTTAAATAACGAAAAATAATATTGCGCAATTGACTTGACCAGGTATCAGTTGGTCAATGGCACAGTCTATTTCAGTTGCCTCAAAATAGCAACGCGCCAACAATGCGCCTCAACCTCTTTTCAGACCAGCACGCTAGAGATGCGCGATTGGCGGTTATAGCCGAGGACTCCGCGGATAAACCGCGGATCGGGCGGATGACGTGACGAAAAAAAATATTTTCATTAAATTCGGGTGGCGGGCGGTTTGTAGTCTCGCGGCTGTCATCAGCAGCGCCTTGTATCAGCGGATGGCGGGCGGGTGCGGTTTTGAAAATTGGTCAAAAACGTTGGTGCGGATGGATGGCGGACGGATGATAAGTTTTGTGATGCGGTTGCGGATGAAATAATAGCCCATCCGCGCATCTCTACAGCACGCCCATGGGCGCAAATGCATTCGCTATTTAAACAATGGGGCGCAGGACGTGAAAATGATAACTGCGTCAGGCTGAAACTAGCAAAAAACACTTGCGTTGCTTGCATTGCGCCGGGTGTATGATAGGGCCCTAAATCTGAGAATCTGTGTCAAATTCAGTTTTTTTTGTTTTTTTTGTTAACTCAACTCGCTACTGTATGTCTGCATTATTGAATCACTGAGTTGTTAGCTAGGCTATTGCAAGTTTAATCTTTTAGATCAGTCGAATTCACAAATGTATGTTATTTATTGTGAACCAGTTTATTTAAAAGAATTGGTTCAAAAGATTCGGTCACGAAACGGGTCACGGAGATCTCGATTCAAAGGGGTCATAGAATGAGAATTAAAATGTTCCTTGATCCTTTGACAGTTAAGAGTTCGCAATAAAAATACCCTGTAAGTTTAAAAACGTACTCGGTTACTAACGTAACCTCGGTTCTGTCTAGAGAGGGAACGAGTATTGCGTAAGTTTAGCTTACGCTACGGGAAAGATTCATCTTCTCGAG